TGAACTGAATGTGTCCTTTTATTGAAAATGCATTTCTGGGTTATTTGTGGGCCTGCCTGGTGTTTTTACATGAGTAGAATGTGTACTTTTATTTAAAATGCATCTCTGGGTTTTTTGTGGGCATAGAAATTCCTTCATATTTCCCCCCCCAAAAAATATAGTCTGGACCCACCACATGGTCTGAGGGATGGTGGACCGGCCCATGGCTGAAAAAGGTTTGCTGACCCCTGAGCTATAGCTTACCCCTCAACCATCCCTATCAGTGACGCAGTGTGGGTTGACAGTGCCCGGGGCTGTGCGAAGGGGGTGGATGGGTAACGGATGGAGTAAGAATGCTCATTCAACTGCCTAAGGGCATCTCCATCACCCAGGAGATCACAGCCGCAGAGATAAGAAAATAAGAGTCGTTCCGTTATCTGGAGAGGTCACTTCCTGGTTTGCATGGAGAAGTTGTTTTCAGCGGGGCCCACAGAGATATATTGAGGCAGCACCAGGTGTTGAAATTTTGCGCCCCTAACAATTTTGTACCTGGGGCAACCCCCTCCCACACACACTACGTCACTGGTCCCAATCTGAGTGGGACATACCAGAATACTGGATATACCAGTATAAAGCAGCTCCCAACAGCGGCGTAGCGTGGGTTGTCAGCACCCGGGGCAAGGCAAGTAATTTGCGCCCCCTAACCCGTGGATTTGCGCTTCCTAACCTGTGGATTTGCACCCCCTAACCCATGGATTTGCCCTAACCCCAGATGTTGCGCCCAGTGCGGCTGGCCCCCCCTGCACCCCCCACGCTACGCCACTGGCTCCCAATGTTCCTTACTGTGATTCTGACATTAAGCTATAAAAGTTGATGGAGTTCAGCTTTACATGTTAAGCTCTGCCTCATCCAGAATGTGGTGCTAATTACTCCAACAGTGGCCTATAGAGCTGACGGGGCTATGAAGCTCACCATCTCTCAGCCAAACGCACCTTGCAGGTAACTTTACCTTTACAGATTGTTGGGAGGACAAAAATGGCGGTGGGGAAGAGAATCGTGTACGGCACCTCGAACTCTTTCGAGAAAATGCAGGATTGAAAAGTCATTAACGCAATAAAAACGATTCATCTTATCTCATTGCCTCATCTTTGGCAAAATAAGTTTAAAAGGATGAATTAAAATAAAGAGAACAAATCATGACACGTGTGTCTGCCAAATCCATTTATTTGCTCAATGTTCAAAAATTCAGGAAATGGAATGTGACTATTTTAGAAGTCTGTGTCATTGCTATGCCTCCCCCCCCCCGCCCCGGTTTTTAAAAACATGGTTGAGCTACTGATATCCTGGGCTTTTGTTTTGAGTGTGTAATTCCCAGTATTGCAAAAGAGTTGTGGCTTGATCAAACAGCGGTGATTCAGTCTATGAGTGCTCTGTTTTCAATCTCTCAGAGCCCGCAATGATTTACTGATCAGAAATGTCCTGCTGTGAATTAGAATTGTTTGTTTCAAAAAGAGCCTCTGAACATCTTGCATGCACAGATCTCATAATGACGCTAAAGAGCTTCTTTGTTGCAGGAGTAAAACCTGAGTAACAGTCCCCAAGGAGAATTAAAAGTGTTCAGTGGCCATAAAATGCTAACTGGTGTGTGTGTGTGTGTGTGTGTGTGTGTGTGTTTGTGGGAATGGAAAACCAGATATTGTGGTGAGCATGACTGATTGGCTGGTATCCTGAACAGAAGCAACCCACACTGCAACACTTTGTTTTTTTTAATAATATTTTTTATTCATTTTCAAATACAAATTTATAAAACCATATCGAAATTTTTCACACATTTTTCTTTTGGACTTACCTCAGTTTCTCTGCCAATCTCTCGTTTTAGTTTATTGTTTACGCATTTCCTAATTTTAATATTGCCTTTTATTATACCCTCCCCAATCCTATTCCCCTTTTTTACAATATTCCTCATACTTTCACAGAGCTTCTTGGAAACCCACAAGTGTTATCTGTTCATCACATGTACTTCACACTGCAACACTTTGATGCAGGTCCCATTTTTAAATTATGCAATTCCTAACCACAACCTGGATGTGGATTTAGTTAGCTGGCTCAGATGTATCCTGACAGTAAGAATGACTCCAATTCTCACCCCATTATATGGGCGCGATCCCCATTGAATTTGATAGAACTTCCTTCTGAGTAGACATGGTTGGCATTGCAGCCTTGCTTTGTTACTCTGGAGACTTTTGACAAATCATTATCAACAGCTGTAGAGGAAATCTGCTAAGAGCCTCCAAGGAAATCTTCCCCTTCTCCTATCATAGCTGAAACTGGAGGGAATACTTCAGAAAGTACAGAAAAGGAGTGCAAAATTCATCACACTTAACAGCCACATTTATATTTTTGCTAATCTAAGGCTGCAATCCTATACACGTATACCTAGAAGAAAGTCCCATTGGATTGAATCAGATTTACTTCTGATTAGTGAGTAGACATGCAAAAGATTGTGCTGTTTTTATTTTTAAACACATTTTCCATCAAAAATGCCCTGCTTTTTTCCACTGCATCCTACATGCTTTCTTCCCTTTACATCATCAGTGGTCTCTGTATCTCACTCCTCATTTAATAAATCATGCCTTAGCATTATGTGTGAACCTGCTCAGTGACTTAACCATGGTTTGTTTACTGCCAAGAAACCATTATCTGAAGCCATGGTTTGTTGCTTCTTAGAAACATTGGTTTGGGTCAACTATGGATTGGAGTTACCACAATTTGTTCAGCCATGCTGTACCCAAAACTCTCCAAGCCACAAAGGCACGAGAAATGAGCAGCAAGAAAACAAATACTTGAGAAAAACCATGCAGTGTTTGATTATCAGAGACAGCTCATTGCTAGCTCATAGTTTGTTAAACAAACTATGGCTTAGCTTTGTGTGCAAACCAGGCAAACAGGACCTTTTTTTCTGAATAAACACGCAAAGGGATCAGGATCTTTGTGAATCTTCCTCAAATTTCTCTCCACATAACTATAGCAGCACTGCACAATATCGTGTAGATGTGACTGAGGAGGAACAAACAGATAATTTGTCTCCCAAAGCAAATGACAAAATGGCACCTCGTACCCATTCCCAGTAGTGATGTATGGAACTGAGAGCTGGACCATAAAGAAGGCTGATCGCCAAAGAATGGATGCTTTTGAATTCTGGTGCTGGAGGAGACTCTTGAGAGTCCCATGGACTGCAAGAAGATCAAACCTCTCCATTCTGAAGGAAATCAGCCCTGAGTGCTCACTGGAAGGACAGATCCTGAAGCTGAGGCTCCAATACTTTGGCGACCTCATGAGAAGACTCCAAGATGGAGGGCACAAGGAGAAGGGGACGAAAGAGGGTGAGATGGTTGGACAGTGTTCTCGAAGCTACCAGCATGAGTTTGACCAAACTGCGGGAGGCAGTGGAAGACAGGAGTGCCTGGCGTGCTCTCGTCCATGGGGTCACAAAGAGTCGGACACGACTAAACGACTAAACAACAACAACCCATTCCCATATACATAAACAGCAAGGTTAAAAATTGCAGCCCTACCAAGGCAAAATGCTACCAAACGCCACAGGATGAAGCCATTAGGTGTTATAAACTTGATGACTGTGCTGCATGAAGTAGTCAAGGCCAGACCTTTTGGCCTTTAGGTAAGCTTGTGAAGACTTTTGTATTCCAGTAGGAGGTAGTGTGTGCTGAGGTTGTTTTGTTTTTTTAACAGGAGGGTACTTTTGCTGTACTGTAACATTTTTATCTCCTTATTTTATATTGGCTGCTGCGTCCATGTAAAATTTTAATTTCCATTATATATAAACAGTCCATAAGGCAGAACAGAATAATAACAAATGTGTATTCGGTCTGAGCATTGAGCTCGGCCCTGAAGGCTTTTTTGGTTTTGGTGCCGTTTCAGTTAGCAGAAACCGGGCAGAGGCTTTTCTGTGGTGGCCCCTTGTTTAATGGAGTAGACTCTCCTCAGAACTCTAACAAGCTCCAACTTTGGTTCTATTTTGGTGTTTGTTAAAAACATCTGTGCTCTCCATCTTTTCCTGTGTTTCCTTAAGGTCAGGAATTAATAGTGCCCTTAGGGTTATCAACTGCATTTTTAAAAAATGTACTTTCCCTGTTTATTTGTTTTAACTTTTGAGTTAATTGGTAGTGTATAAATAAATAAAAATTCAACAATAGACTCTGAAAGAAAAATGTAGTTCAATGCACTATAATTAGAAAAAAACAACATTTTATTTACAGAATGTGTGGCATTCCACAGTTAAACAGATAAGAAAAGGAATTTATGATCCAGAGACACAATGATAAAATGCTCATTCCCTAAAAAAACAACATGGCAGTATGCCATACATTGAAGACATGAAATATCCAAGTGTATATAGAACATCACTGTTCTTTACAAGGTTTTTTTAAATAAAAAAAAATCCTTATTTAAATATACTCATTAAGCAAAGTTCATGAAGCAAAATTCATTCCATAGGTTCATAGCCAGGTTTTCAGCAATAATATCAGAATAATATCTCTGTGTTGTACCTTCACAGCAATGGGCCAGTGTGTCTGGCTATAAACCAGAAGGTTAGTGGTTCAAGCCCACCCAGGGACAGCTGTGGGCAAGATTCCTGAATTCCAGCGGGTTGGACTAGATGACCCACAGGGTCCCTTCCAACTCCACAATTCTATGAATATATGTGTAATAAAAAATGTGCCAGGGCTCTTGTGCCGCTCCCATTCATTTCAGCAGGGACTGCCCAGAATACTATTAGCTGAATGGCACTCTTTGGCATTTTATCGATATACAGTGGTACCTCAGGTTAAGAACTTAATTCGTTCTGGAGGTCCGTTCTTAACCTGAAACTGTTCTTAACCTGAGGTAATGGGGCCTCCCACTGTCGCAGCACGATTTCTGTTCTCATTCTGAAGTAAAGTTCTTAACTCGAGGTACTATTTCTGGGTTAGCGGAGTCCGTAACCTGAAGTGTCTGTAACCTGAAGCGTATGTAACCCGAGGTACCACTGTACTTAATAGAGAATATTTCTAACCCCCCCCCCCCGTTGCAGAAACAGTGCTCAGTGTACATTCAGTTGGCTTCGCAGAATACATAACAGTGGCATCTAGCGTGCTGAATCCATCAGGCGGCCGGCTATAGCTACAGGTAGCAATAAATACATTCCGATTAGTTTCGATAATAAATACAAGTGGATAGTTGTAAAGTGGTTCAGTTCTTAAGGTGCTCAACTTCCTGCTTCTCCAACCAGAGGCTTTCCACAACCGCTCCGTACAACATGCCCGAAGCATTTTTCGCAGCTTGTCGTGTTAGGGCTGAAACCAGAAAAAGGAAAAGATATATTTATGCAAATGAGAACGTGAGAAACTGCAAAGCTTGTTGCCTCACCTGACCTTCTGAAAGCACTTCAAACTGCAACCCAATAGGTATATGTCATCATGAGCTACATATTGTCAGCTGCCTGAATGATTTAATTTAATTTCTTATTTAATTTATTTAATTTAGCTTATTTAATTTCAAATGAGGCTGTATTTACGGGACCGCCTCTCCTGGTATGCCCCACAGAGGACCTTAAGGTCCATGAATAATCATAGCATAGAGGTCCTGGCCCCTAAGGAAGTCAAATTATCCTCCCCCAGGGCCAGGGCCTTCTCAGTGATGGCTCCGACCTGGTGGAATGCTCTGTCCCATGAGAGCAGGGCCCTACAGGATTTAACTTCCTTCTGCAGGGCATGTAAGACAGAACTATTCCGCCTGGCTTTCAATTTGAACTTAGCCTGATCTTTTATTCCCCTTCCTTCCCTCCCCCCTCTGCTTTTTATAAAGATTACCTGCTCTGGGATCCCACAGCCAATTCTCCCCTGGTCTCCTCGCTAGCCCAAATAGGACTAATTTAGCCAGCTAGCCCTGGTGATCATCTAATGTTTATTGGGTGGATTTCCCCCCTAACTTGATTTTTGAATTCTGAATTTATTGTTATTTTATGTATTTTATGCTGTTTTTTCTTGCATCAATTAAGTGTTTTAAATTTGTTGTTAGCCGCCCTGAGCCCGGTTTTCTGAACCGGAAAGGGCAGGGTATAAATAAATTATTATTTATTATTATTATTATTATTATTATTATTATTATTATTATTATATTATTTATTTATTTATTTATTATTATTATTATTATTATTATTTCACCTTGATACCTTTTATAATATGGGAGTACAGAAATCCTTTTTATAAATAAAATGGACTGGTGCCATTAATTTGGGTTTCCCACATACAGTGGTGCCCCGCAAGATGAATGCCTCGCAAGACGAAAAACCCGCAAGACGAAAGGGTTTTCCGTCGCGGAGGCGCTTCGCAAGACGAAGTTCCCTATGGGCTTGCTTCGCAAGACGAAAACGTCTTGCGAGTCTCGCCATTTTTTTTCCCGCTCCCCCCCCCTTCTTCAAAGCGGCTAAGCTGTTAATAGCCTTTTAACAGCTTAGCCGCTAAGCCCGCTAAGCCGCTAATAGCGCTAAATCGCTAATAGCACTAATCCGCTTAGCCGCCAATGGGGTTGCTTCGCAAGACGAAAAAACCGCTAGAAGAAAAGAATCGCGGAACGGATTCTTTTTGTCTTGCGAGGCACCACTGTAATTGTTTTCAGCAATAAAAGGGGGGGGGAGGCTCTCAGACACACAGCTTAAAGCCCTGACCTGCACCTAGAAATGTAGAACAAAAAAGAAACCCTGAGATGAGCCCTGAGATTTCCACCATGGATCCCAAATGATATTGTAAACGCCGCGTCCTGCGCGCGGCTCCTTCCCAGTGCTTTCTGTAGTTACCATTGCCATAATCTTGTTGACAATCAGCTTGACCCACGGCGCTTGGGGGTCCAGGCAGACTTTCCTCCCGTTGTTCAGGGTGGCTCTGTTCAAAGGAGGGGAGAGAAGGCAAAGAATTGAGCTGGTGAGCGAAGGGGCTTTTTGCACAGCACAGAGTCGCAAGGGAGGTTATGGGCCCAGGTCGGGACACTTACATGACTTCAGGAACGACGCAGTGAGGTCCCTCGGGGAGGAGGATAACGGAAGCAATTTGCTTGCGTGGAATCGCACGGGAGACAGTTTGGATGCATTGGCACCGTAGCTCCCCGGTCATAGGAGCAGCTGAGGAGGGAGATCGCAGAAACTTAACAATGCAACCCTGAGAAGCAAATCACAAAAGGTATCTTTTCCAGGCTTATTCCCAGGAAAACATACCTAGCGCAACCACATCGAACGCTTAACCCAACCTCCCTCTAACACAGGGGTCAGCAAACTTTTTCAGCAGGGGACCGGTCCACTGTCCCTCAGACCTTGTGGGGGGCCGGGCTTTATTATTTTGGGGGGAAATCAACGAATTCCTATGTCCCACAAATAACCCAGAGATGCATTTTAAATAAAAGCACACATTTTACTCATGTAAAAACACCAGGCAGGCCCCACAAATAACCCAGAGATGCATTTTAAAGAAAAGGGCACATTCTACTCATGTAAAAACACGCTGATTCTGGGGCCGTCTGCGGGCCAGATTTAGAAGGTGATTGGGCTGGATCTGGCCCCCGGGCCTTAGTTTGCTTAGTAAAGGTAAAGGGACCCCTGACCATTAGGTCCAGTTGCGGACAACTCTGGGGTTGTGGCGCTCATCTCGCTTTATTGGCCGAAGGAGCCGGCATACAGCTTCCGGGTCATGTGGCCAGCAGGACTAAGTCGCTTCTGGCGAACCAGAGCAGTGCACGGAAACGCCGTTTACCTTCCCACTGGAGCGCTACCTATTTATCTACTTGCAGTTTGACGTGCTTTCGAACTGCTAGGTTGGCAGGAGCAGGGACCGAGCAACGGGAGCTCACCCCGTTGCAGGGATTCGAACCGCCGGCCTTCTGATCGGCAAGTCCTAGGCTCTGTGGTTTTCAATCACACAAACTTTGCTGGCATTTTAAATTGCACTGGTGCCTTCCCCTGTCTGTCACACGCCTTCAAGGTTCATTTTAACACAATCGTGGCAAGCCCTTCTGCCACTTGCTTTCTGATGGACGGATGTGCTAGGGCTCTTCCAGTATTTAGCTCTGAACAGACACAGTTCATTGTCTAACAGCACCCTAGGCTGCATGTAGTCTCTGGGAAATTTGTTTCCCAAGCCCCCTGAATTAATATGAGCATCGCTACTCCCAATAAAACTTTAAATATTTTAGCCTTCCCAAAATGGGGTGTGCCAGCTTGGAGCAAAGGAGTTCCATAGCCGAATCTGTGCCAGATTTCTACCTGTGAACTTGATTTCCATATGACTGTGTGCAAGGTGAATTTCCTCCATGGCTGTACAGCCTCAAACTAGTTCACAGACACCCCTGGCATCAGAAAGCGAAGTTGTGCAGCTTCCATTCAGGTGTGAACTAAGCCCCTTTCGTTTAAGGAACGAAATGTGATTAGCAAGCGCATGTAAGTTCTGTACTTACACGACCAAGAGAAACTGGTTCTTCAAAGGGCACCTGAGTTGAAAGCAGTATATGCAGACTAATTCTTTCAGGAGCACAAACACCGAAAGGGATGAGAACTCTGCAGCCAGGAGGCACCAAACTCTTGAGAATTTTGTCCAGAGCACCAGGTCTTACCAGCTCCAGAATGGCATTCTAACTTAGATGCTTGAATAGTATAAAAGGTAAAGGGACCCCGACCATTAGGTCCAGTTGTGGCTGACTCTGGGGCTGTGGCGCTCATCTCGCTTTACTGGTCGAGGGAGCCGGCGTACAGCTTCCGGGTCACGTGGCCAGCATGACTAAGCCGCTTCTGGCGAATCAGAGCAGCGCACGGAAACGCGGTTTACCTTCCCGCCGGAGCGGTACCTATTTGTCTACTTGCACTTTGACGTGCTTTTGAACTGCTAGGTTGGCAGGAGCAGGGACCAAGCAATGGGAGCTCACCCCTTCTGATCGGCAAGTCCTAGGCTCTGGTTTAACCCACAGCGCCACCCGAGTCCCCTTCAATAGTATAGGCACCATCCAATCACAGACGCTTTTAAAATTTCACTACTGTTGGACTTGGGATGCCCAGCTCTGGCTAGATCCTGTATTAGGATTTCAGATGCCTAGTCTTGGAGCAGGGGTAGGCAACCTAAGGCCCGGGGGCCGGATCCGGCCCAATCACCTTCTCAATCCAGCCCACGGACGGTCCAGGAATCAGCGTGTTTTTACATGAGTAGAATGTGCCCTTTTCTTTAAAATGCACCTCTGGGTTATTTGTGGGGCCTGCCTGGTGTTTTTACATGAGTAGAATGTGTGCTTTTATTTAAAATGCATCTCTGGGTTATTTGTGGGGCATAGAAATTCGTTCATTTTTCTTCTTCTTCAAAATATAGTCCGGCCCACCACATGGTCTGAGGGACGGTGGACCGGCCCACAGCTGAAAAAGGTTGCTGACCCCTGTCTTAGAGCTTTGGGCTTTAGCACAACTAAGTTGCCTGCATGGTTATTTTCACCAAATGAAGACCGAAGGTCTCTGGAACCTGATCATTTCATAATCAGCCTTGGAGCAGAAGTCTAGCAAAGCCCTGTTCAAACATTTGCTGGGGATGGGTGGTGGGGTGGGGCAGGAGGCTTCTGCTTCCAACCTCAATATGTTCATAACGGTGTGAAAATAGCCTAAATCTGAGGTTTCATGCCTGTCCAATCAACTTGCCTTAACTACCTACTAAATATGCAGAATTCAGGAGCAGAGACAGTGGCTGTCAAATTTTTCAACTTCTCCAAATTAAAAAAACACACAAGGGTTCTAAAAAGCTGTAGCATGACTTGGGAATGCAAAAGATATTTTGGTGAAATCTATATAATTTAGTTTTGCTTGTCAAGTAAAAAGGCATGTCAAATTGCACAGGAATAATAAAAAAATGATAGCCAATTATTTGCAGCGATGATGCTGATGACCTGACATTTTCTGAAGGTAAAATAACAAATTCTTTGGGTTTCTGAAAGCAGTTCATCATCAAGCTAAATATTATCCAATCACAAAAAAGCAGATTTGAATCCCTCACATCTGAAAGCATATTTTAATATCCTCCCCAAATAAATCTGCAAAAGTTAAGTTTCACCCCCTAAAACGACACACCTTAGTGGTACAACTTCACCCCTCTGCCCCCCATTTATCCATCAAAAAAGCAACTTTAATGTGAACAGCCCAGAGGTGAAGAGCTCCTCTGAGCGTGAGCAGAGTTCTTCTGCCTCACAAAACACAGCAAATCCACAGACAGTGGAGACGGGGGGACTGGGAGCTGGGTTTACAAAATTTTCAAGCCGGAAATCAGGGCATCTGCTATCTCCCATCACCTCGTGTTTTAGAAGTTGCGTCCCACCCGTCGCAGATCTTAAAATCATCTTTAGGACCTTTCAGCGAAGTCTGCCTCTCTACCAACCATCCAGCTGGCTTTTTTGGTTTCGTTCCCCACCCCTGAACGCGGCTTTAAATTTGCAACGGGCTCGGACGTTTGCCTCCGCGGAGCTTGCGGAGTTTGCTCGCCCCCGACGGCTGCTCAAAAGGATGGATTTTGGAGCCTAGCAGATCTTCCAGGAAACCCCCGCACCTGCCCCGCTGCATGCAATCGCCCACCCCCCCGAAATGCAAATCGGCACAGAAAGGATGCTAATGGACCGCCCCGTCGATGCACCTGAGGTTAACCTACCCTGGCTGTGCGAAGCGCTCCCGGCTAGCAGCAGGAAGACCAGCAGGGCGGCCACGCAGGGGACTGGACGGCACGGATTCATTGTTGCCAACGCGCTCAGAGCCGATGCGGATCCTCGACGTGATGCTGCAGCGGCCGCCAAGACGCTCTGAGCTGCTCCGTCGCGCCCGCCGGTCTTTTATGGTCCCTAGCTGCTGCGATCCCCGCCGCCGCCGCGGAGGGGCGCTCGAGGGACGAGTCCCGCCCCCTTCCCCGCGCACCGCCTTGGCATTGGCCGGGTGCGGGCGTCGGGTGAGAGATGCGACGGAGCGGTCCTTGCGAGGGGCAATTCCGCTCGGAAACAGCAGGTGTCGCTGTCCGCGGAACCAATTGGGAGGTTGATTTTAGTTTCTTAGTTTTTATTTTTTTGAAAAGTTTTATTATTAAAATAATTCAGCATTAATACACACATATTGCAAATATACAAGCATACATTTCATACAATCCTTAAAAATGCTCAAACATACCTAAACTTAATCCCACAGATAATTCCTTGATTTATTTTTTTATCTCTTTCCATTTCTTGCCAGCTGGGTAAATTGATCTCCGTCATCAATGCCTGTTTTTAATTCCGGCTCCAGATTTTGCTTTATCTACTGTAGTTGTGTGTGTAACTGATTTTATTTGTGGTGCATTGCCTACCTCCGATTGTGCAACGAACAAATCAAAATGAATAATAATTCCTTTTTTTCCTCCCCGAAACCAGCAAGATCAAGTATTCCAAAACGACTGGAGTAAATTTATAGGATATCTGAAAGATTATTGTAAGCAATTAACATCGCTAGCAAGGTTGTCTGGAGACTTGTAATGAGAAATGTTCTACCTTTCTATATTTATTTAAATTTTGAGCTGTTTTGTAACGAGCATGATTAGAATTGGGAAATGTACAAAATGTAATGATATAAAGGTTAATTTTGAAAGCCATGAGGCGGGAGGGAAGGAAGTTGATAGGCTCTAAAGAGCCAAGGATGTAAAGTGGATTGTAATGATGTAAACATATATTATTAAATGGAAAGTAAATAAAAAATGTGTGTGTGTATATATATATATATATATATATATATATATATTTGCATTTGGCATGCACACACAAAAATGGAAATTGGAGAAGAGGAAATTACGGCTGCAGTGAAGAAAAAGCTGTCTTGATCCTGTCTTAGGCAGTTTGTTTGAAGTATTGAAACTCTCATTTTATCCCTTATACAGTGGTACCTCGGGTTACATACGCTTCAGGTTACATACACTTCAGGTTACAGACTCCGCTAACCCAGAAATAGTGCTTCAGGTTAAGAACTTTGCTTCAGGGTGAGAACAGAAATTGCGCGACAGCCACAGGAGGCCCCATTAGCTAAAGTGGTGCTTCAGGTTAAGAACAGTTTCAGGTTAAGAACGGACCTCCAGAACGAATTAAGTACTTAACCCGAGGTACCACTGTATACTGTAATTTTGTGTTACATACTGAGTTGGGTATGTTTAACCTGAGAAAGAGGAGAAGGAGACTATGTTAGCCATATTCAGACACCTGAAGACATGGAAGATGGAGGAAGCTTGTTTTTCTCCTGGTCCATATTTGGGCAGGACCCAAACCAATGGGTTCAATGTGCAGTGAAGGAGATTCGGATTAAACATGAAGAACTTTCTGACAATAAGAGCTGCTAGTGGAACGGATTCCGTTTCATTGTTAAATGGAAGGTTTGCAAACGGTAATAAATGTAATTGGTTGAATTCCGGCATCTTCCAAACCACCCTTCTAACCAAAGTACACAAAGTGATGCATGGGATAAATCGGATTAATCTGATTAAGAATAAGAATAAGAATAATATAAAAAGGTTTTTTTTACCATTATAACGGGTAATTATAAAACTGCCATGAGCGTGCAACATAACAACATGACAATATTTTGCATTGTCATCAAGTAAAAAAAATAATTGGGTAATAAGGAAATGGCTCACTTTCCTGGCTTTTAAGTGACTGAACATTAAAAGTGGTCAGGGAGGGTGTTGCGCAAACATTCCATTTCTCAGGAAATGGGGATGTTGAGAAAGTAAATATCTTTTGGTGCGTAGATATAAATTTTATTATTTTAATGTATTTTTAATCTTTGTTGGAAGCTGCCCAGAGTGGCTGGGGAAACCCAGCCAGATGGGCAGGGTACAAATAAATTATTATTATTATTATTATTATTATTATTATTATTATTATTATTATTATTATTACCCAACATTTGCTTTCTGATCGAGGGTGTGGATTTGAATTTCTGGCATTTTACCAGCGACTTCACAGCTACCTTTCCCCACAAAAATGGACTCTGAACACAATACCTTGCGTTTTTCTTCTTTAATACTTTATTACATTTTTGAAATGTACAATGAGAAGAATAACAATAATAAACTGAACCTAAACTACATATTCTACAATAAGAAGAAAAAAAACTGGTGCAAATTATATAGTGAGAATATTTAAATATCTAGAACAAAAAAGAAAATAATAAAAAATAATAAAATTAAAAAGGAGAAAGAAAAAGAAGGAGAGCAAAACAAAACAAAACAAAACAAAACAAAGAAAGAAAAATTATTTATCATTTGCAACATTATTTAAGGAGTACAAACCATAACTTGAATATTCTGTACACAAAATCCTATACAGAAGTTATCTTCATTCCAACATCAGGGTCTTTTCCAGGGAGTCTTCTCTTCTCATGAGGTGGCCAAAGTATTGGAGACTCAGCTTCAGGATCTGTCCTTCCAGTGAGCACTCAGGGTTGATTTCCTTCAGAATGGATAGGTTTGATCTTCTTGCAGTCCATGGGACTCTCAAGAGTCTCCTCCAGCACCACAATTCAAAAGCATCAATTCTTCTGCGATCACCCTTGTTTATGGTCCAGCTCTCACTTCCATATATCACATAGGGATTAGGATTAAATATTATCTACCAATTTATTCCCTATCATTTTAAAATTACAGACACACACACACACAAACAAACAAACAAACAAACAAACACACACACAATAGATAGATGATAGCGATAGATGATAGATAGATAGATAGATAGATGATAGATAGATAGATAGATAGATAGATAGATAGATAGATGATAGATAGATAGATGATAGATGATAGATAGATAGATAGATAGATAGATAGAGTAATTTGTTTTTAATGTTTTTGTTGGTGTTTCTAATGAGTAATTTAGGCTGCCTGCTGTAAACCCCTTAGAAGTCTTTTGTTCTAGTAAGTAACAAGCATTTTGCTAAATAATGAAACAGCAACAAATTCCTTGGAAGATGCAGTTGTAACACATTAATTGACATTTCAGTAGCCTAAATGATAACTTGGGGTTGAACCTCTGGGACACAACTGTGGACACCCTTAATGGCTGCTTAGAAGATTATAAAAAAAGAACCCGATCACAATCTTTTCTAACTCATTGAAAACCAAGGAGGTTATAGCTACAAATTTACCCTAAGAATGAAGTTTTGCTTCTGCTAACTCTATAAATCCGCATGAAGCTGCAGTGGTTAACATATTAACTGATGTTTCACTTCAGTTGCTTCAACAAATTCGTGATTAATGCTCAGAAGAATTCAGCAAATACGTATGCTTCTCACACAGTCATAAACTTCCTAAACAGATTTCTAGTTTTCCAGAAGCGTTTGGGTAATTTCCCCACAAAATTCCCAAAGTGTTTTTTTTTTAAATAGTTTTTTTGCAGAGCTAGGGAACTTGCATTTGTCTCAAGCTAGAGAGCAAGATTGTTAGTATCTCAGTTTCACATTCTTCGGCCAACTCTTGAGAAAACGAGTTTTGTCAGCCACATTAAATCATACAAAGAACACAAGGAAACCCCACAGCACAATCCACTTAAACTTCCTTCTACACAAGCTCTGTTGAAACGACTGGCGGCTGAGTCTGAAGAGCACTAAAGGGCTCTTAACCAATCCATTTTGATGCAACTTCCGTAGGCGAACACCTTTGTAGTCTGTGCGTCCTTTTAAAAATTGGAATCGTTTCATTAGCTATGCAGCAAAGGCGGGCATCCGCTGGGTGGATGACACATGTTGTTTCAGGGTAGAGAGTGATTTCTTTTGAAAAGGAGGGGACATTTTATCATATGTGGTGGGATTGTAAGGTAATTAAAAAATTTTGGGAAATGATATACAACGAATTGAAGAAAATGTTCCATTTAACATTTGTTAAAAAACCGAGGCATTTTTGTTAGGGATTGTAGGGAAAGACCTGCCAAAAAAGTTGAAAAACATCTTCATGTATGCGACAACGGCCGCGAGAGTTTTAATAGCACAAGGATGGAAGACTGAAGAAACCCCAACTAAAGAATCGTGCCAAGAAAAATTGATGGACTATGCAGAACTGGCAAAACTGACATACAAGCTATGGGACAAGGATAACTGTGACTTTAAAGATGAATGGGAACCCTTTACAAAGTATTTGAAGACGCAACAAAGCGAACATTCACAAACTTTTTATTGATAATAATCAGCTAAATAGTTTGAGGATCTATACAACTGTGTTACATGCAGAAAACAGCATTTTTAGAGAAATCAAAGACTGGAACTGAGGGAAGTTGAGGGATGGGGGGATTCTGTGGGGGGAGGGAGGAAAAATGGAGGGGGAATAAGGATGATATGTTTCTGGATAATATGTTTTGTCTTAATTTTGAAGAAAAAGTTATTTTTTTAAAAAAGAGAGATAGTGATTTATTTTGTGAGGCCAATGAAACATGCGCCTAATCAGATTTTTCTAAGAATTCCAGAGAATGGGCTCATCCACACTTCTGATTATTCTGTTATTTCTAGGCACAGGTCTGAGAGGTTTTTATTTTGTCCCACCGCTTGGGAAAACCCGCAGTTTACTGCTGAATCAGAAGAACAAATATCAATTCACAACACTCCCCAAAATTCTACTCCTGAAGGAGCGTCTCCACCCCCATCGTTCTGCCCGGACACTGAGGTCCAGCTCCGAGGGCCTTCTGGTGGTTCCCTCATTGTAAGAAGTGAGGTGATAGGGAACCAGGCAGAGGGCCTTCTCGGTAGTCGCGCCTGTACTGTGGAACGCCCTCCCATCAGATGTCAAAAAGGAAATAAACAACTACAGT